TTTGCCTTGCTGCCTTCAAGGTGCTTCTGCCCTTTGTTTTGTTTTTTGCTTAAAAATTACCTGTTAATATTATCTATTTTATATAGGACAACTAAAGCCCAGAAAAAGGCTATGGAGAAACCCCTAAAAAATCGATAGTATTAAAAAATGGTAAAATAAATAATTGGGTATTATTAATGGAAGTCTTCGGAAGAGAGGCAGATTTTTGTGTTCGAAAAATATTGAGTTTTAAAAATTCTATACCATTTCTACGAAAAGTTGTTTTTTCCCATATAAATTACATGGATAACTTGGAGCGCTTTGAGCGACTTCTAAATATTTTACGTTTTCAAAAAAAAAAAACAAGGGTATAACTTTTTCCGCATAAAACAATCCTATAGGGTGAGAGCATTAAAATTCCGACTTTACTTGTCTTAGACCACCCTAATGTACATACATACCTCTAAGAGAGTATATTATGTACTCGTATTATATTTATATTTATTATGTATATATGTATGTATGTAGGTATTTTGATGCAAAAACCCTTATGAATACTAATCTAATGCCACATCGTGTTGCAAGTCGCAAGTTGAAACTAAATTCAAATCAGTTTGGCTTAACCGTAAAGACAACATTTGCAGTCAGCAACAGTTTACTGCAATATTGGAAGACAAAGGATATATATATATATATTTTTTTTTGCTTTACAGTATTCCTTCTTTTTCAATGGCTAAAGCGTGAACTCCCTGTAAGCCATTGTAAATGTTAAGCAAAAAGGATAATACGATTGCTTAGTGGAATCCCTTTTGCATCGATTAAAAACATAAATCACTCCAAGCCAACACCTACTCACACGTATAGTGCTTATTGAAATACGTTTGTACCCTGTAGGAAATAAATATATGTACATATGTATATAGTAAAATCATGGATTGACCCATACCCGCATAGAAGAAATCAGTTAAGTCTAGATTTTTTTCCAATGAACGCGAAACAAGTTGGATGCAACATTACATTGGATTGCTTAGCCTTAGCTGGACCCATGAGTATCATCTTTGAAGCGCACTGAAGTAGAAATACTCATGCTAGGATACACTAGCTAAGTCTAGGCTTAACTGGTTCTCCTGTCGGACTTGGTTCAGATGAGTTTGGTGCAGGTATGTACATTAGGGTGGTCCTTACATGTACGAAGCAAATTTTTGCATCAGATTTCCTAAGGATCAACCTTTACGTTGATGCTACTCCCCATTGGAGACGATTAAGGTGTGTCGCACAGAGGGCAAAGTTCAGATATCTCTATGGAGACTCAAAAAATTTAAATTAGCTTTTTTTCGTCTAGTACCCAAAATCGATACTACTAATGTCGAGTATATCACATATAAAATTTGGGTGCCGATTGAAGTCGTTTAAGGCGTATCACACAGTGGTCAAAGTTCAGACTACCCAATGACGACATCTTAGCCGACTCCAATCGGGACAAAGATTTATAAATGATATTCTCGACTTTAGTAGTATCGAGTTTGGACATTAAATAAAAAAAAAAAAAAAATTTTTTTTGAGATCGGCCTTTGACCCCTTTGAGACAAGCCCTGACCCACTCAAATCGGGACCAAAATTTATATGTGATATCTGTGACCGTGGTATTACCGATTGAGGGGGTGGGACTGAAAAAAATATCGTTCATTTTTAAGGAGCACCCTAATGTACTTAGCCTAAGCAAATCGAGTAACAAATTTGACCTGTAACAGTTAGAACATAGCAAAGTTTAAAGTTGGTTTTATTTCTTGCGGGGTCCAAGGGCAAAAACGGCAGCCTGTGTACGGTAATGCTTATTCGATTTGCATCATTCTTTCCTCTGTCTCTAGTCGTGCATTCTTTACAAAATTTGCATTTGAGATTTGAATTTAAATGCGTCCAATGTTTTTGCCTCTGCTTTTTCTTTAATCTCCTCGCCGACGATGCTGCAGCTGTTGTTGTTGGCGTTGCCACTGCATATTTGCTTTTAATTATTCACTTGTTGTGCATCGAACTGCAACACACTGCGCCCTCCGCCGCTGCTATTGTTTTCCTAATCTCAACACTTTATGCGGCTTATGTTTTATGCATTTATGTTTTTCGCACAACCTGAGCATTCTATTTGATTTCTTTTTTTTTTTTGTTGTACATACATACATACATACTTAGATCCGAGTATCTGGCTCGCTACACACCAATCACTTTTGCCATTTATGTGTTGTTGTTGCTGCTATTTGTTGTAAGCGTGTACGTCGTGTATTGCTTAGAAGCAGCTCATCCTCTTTGACCTATTTTTGCAGAACTTTGTGTTATTTTCTAGTTCTGCTGCAGCGATTAATTTCGCCCATGCTAAGTAAGTACTCTACTCATATTCAACCAGCCAGCCAGCCAGCCAGAGATTCATTCACTCTCTTAATCGTTCACTCGTTCATTCATTCAGATAGTATTTTTTGTACTGCTTGTGGCCTGCTCAACTGTAAGCGTATTTTGCATTTTCTCCATCCATTCAAAGTTTTGTTTGCTGCAAGAGCATTAGGCTGTTGTTGTTGTTATTTTTTTTATTGTTCGCCTGTTGCAACGCACCGTTAGGTGTTAATGAATGCAAATCTAAGCCACACCTTCTTCGTATTCAATTGACACAAAAATTAAATTCTTCAGCATCCCTTCGGAGTAAAAGTATCTAGATGGGATGGATGCACGGGCTGACGTTGCGTTGGCGTGGAAGATTAATTTCTTTCCTTTCCATTTGGCGCGTGTGCCGTCAGAACATTTTGCCTTCCGCGCGTGCAGTAAGTATACTTGGTTTGTTGTTGTTACTCTTGTCTCATGAATATGCAATTCATACTCCTACATATTTGTTACTTCTTCTGTTCCGTCACTGGTTGTTTTTGGGCGTTTTGCTTCTATTAATTTAAGCTGATTGCTATTTGGGTTAAGCGCTCCTTTGGCTACACTAACCGCATTTTCCGCAACACCATACCATTTATGTTTGCGTGTAGGTAGATATGTGTGTTTTTGTGCACCTTGTATGTACATAATTGTGTCTGTATGTATGTATTTAAGTAATTGTGAAGAAAAGTAGCTTTTCAGATAGGTTCATCTGGATTTGCGACACATTTGTAAAAAAAAACATATTTATATATATGTATGCAGATACATTAGGGTTCTCCTTAAAATGTCAACATGGGACACTCCTTTACTTCGTTCTACGCAGTGTCGTTTTTTTTTCAAAAAACTGTAAATTTCAGGTAAATACTGTATTTTCGACCAAAAAACTGTAACCTTCAAAAACGCAGTTTAAAAAAAATTGATTTTCCAATTATACGTACATTAAAGATATTAAAGAAAAATTAATATGCAGGATATTTATTAGAGCAATAGAAGCCAAATCAACATTTTTAGAATTTTTGTCTGTCTGTTTGTACGTGCATCACTCGAAAACTAATGCAGGAAATTGAATGCAGTTGTCACCAATGTATTGTTAGAGGTCTAACTTAAAATATAAAAAGAAATAAAATTAGAGAGTTGCCACCTGTTTGAAAATTGCAGTTTAAGTAAATAGATAAGATCAAGTAAACATTGCAATGTGGCTGTCAAAACAAAGAGGTTTAAGAAGGCTTATAGCCGAAAGTATTTTTGTTGAGGTTGCCACATGTTTGAAAATTTTAATTGATAAAATAAATTAAACATTGCAATAAGGGTATCAAACTGAAGAGGTTCAGGTATGCTTAGTTCCGAAAATAGTTTTGAGGAGCGCTAAATGAAATATTACAAAACGGGTAAAATACTTCTAAGGCGCAGGGAAGCACGCTGGGTATTTGCTAGTTTAAAACTAAATAACATAAGCCGTTTAAATTGTACTCTATTTAACCAAAAAAAATTATTAAATGAAACATTTTTTTAATGAAATTCAGTTTCACTATTTTTTGTAAATAGCCTTGTGAATTTTGTTTAGCTTTTGAATCGGTACCTCAAATTTAGTATCTCCTGAAGCATTTCCTTAAAAAAAGTTGTAGTTCTTAAAATACCAGAGTGCTGGAATTTCCAGTTTTTTTATTATTTGATTCAAATTGATTTCGGAAAACATTATTTCCACATTTGCCGTGGCGCATAAAATGCAAAGGGCAGTGGAAACCGTTTCCTTCAATTGAGGAAACGCGGCTCTTTCATCGTCCCCTTTTATCTTAATCAAATCAGGAATTTCAAACTCACTACGACGAAAATTTCAAAATTTTGAAATAATTTTTATGGGTCGTTACCAGGGTTTGAAAAAATTTAAATCTGATAAATTTTACATTTTATTGAAAATGGTTCATGTAAATTCATAGTCATCGCAAATGGGTACTTTTTTCTAAGTTCCAAAAGGCACTGGTTTACAAATAATTATCTGCAAAATTATGTAGAATCTCATATATGTACATATATGAGAGAGTTAAATGGACTTCCTGAAAAGGTGACCAATACAAAATTCAGGTATTAATATTTTTAAAGGGCACCCTAATGTACATATTTCGTAAATATTAAATGGCTCGTTCGATTTGGAATTGCAAGGAACTAAATTTATAATTTCAACAGGCATTGGTATTCAATTTACGTAAAGAATGCAAATTCTATAAATGAAGGTACAAAATGTTTTCAGTTTAATCAAAATTCAAATGCAAATTTCTCCATAGAAACAATTTAAGCTTACACAGGTGCGGCAAGTGTTAAACCTGCTTTTGATAGACTTTTTAGTGCTGAATACGAATCCGTAAGTATAAATTTTCCACCAGGTCAAGATTTTGTGAAAAACGGGGTCAAAAATTCGCGAAAGCAAATGTGATGAAATCTTTCACTTAGGCCTAAATTAAAGCTAGAACTCTTGACTACTGTCCCTGCAAATACCATCTCTGCATCTTAACCGGATGGTCACTTATAGTCATATAGAAGGTTCTATCACCTATTGTTGCTTTGCTAGAGCTTCTCAAATATAACACTTTGAATTAAAACTACTACAGTTTTATGGAAATTGGCGCATTTGTGTGCGGATTTTGTGTATATCAGCATCTTAAACTAATATTCACTAAAGAAGCTTGTGTTCCAAATTTGAAGCCTCTAGGTTAATTTTTACTATATATGGCCAACTTTTTCGTGATTTCTCCCACTTTGGGTCCCCAAGTAGAGACCGGTTCCGATCACTTGCTCCGCTTTTTACCCATCAGTATAGATGGAGAGGGGACCTCTATCGTCCCATTCTTATCTAGTCGTGTATACTCATTTAATATATATCTCAGCATTAAAGCCCCAAACCGGCTTGAGAACGTCGGTCATGGCTTCTATGTCAGCTTTAACACGTAACCTTTCCTGAGTTTGAGTAAACTCTTCATCGCCGTATCAGGGACAAAACTATACAGCAGCTAGGGATGAAATATCATGTTAAGCCCATCCTGAGGTACGCTACTCCCTGCTGCCGATATGCTGAGCCATACGAGTTTTTGCACTTTCCCGATTACTTTCTTAGTATTCCTCTAGTCTAGAGCTTTCCCCTGACTAGAGGTCAGATGAATGCGTTGTACATACCTTAGGTGATGTACGATGACAGTCACAATTGCTTTTAAAATGAGTTTGAAATCAAAAATAATACCTAGGTATTTTGCCTCGCATGAGAGATTCAAAGTGGATCACCACAATCTGGCAGAGCAAAAGTGGAAACTTTCCTTTAAAGGAGTAAATAGGCAACAAACTTTGTTATTTTAGCTTTGAATGTCCTCACCATCTTATTATTGGTACAGGTAACTATTTTCGGGTTCTAGTCTTGGTATCATATGATCCGTACCAAGGTTTAGCTAGGCTAGTCTAGTCAGCAACGGCGAGATACGGATACTAGGCGGCCCGGAGCTAGTCAGCTTAACCCGGTTTTGTCGGAACTTTATGCGGGACGCCGATGGTTGGCGAGGCCTAAAGGTTTGTGAGATACACCCATTGTAACTGTTGACATAGGTTCTGATGTACACCCAGACGTTTTGATAACCTCCAGAGGGGCCAATGATTTCACTAGAGTACCGTCCAGTGAAGACGCCCATGAAAGTCGACGTACCTATCGTCGTCTGGCCACATCACGAAATGGGGTTCATGCAGAGGTATCGAAACGAGTCAAAACGTTCACAATATGGACTCCAATCTTTGCCATGATATCAAAAGAAGATTATAGGCTCCGCATTTGGGGTGAAGAGATTTAAGAAAGAGGCCACTTGCGAAGATTTTTGGTCTCGGCCCAAACCCACAAATGGTTGTAGTGCCAAATAAGAAGGAGTAAGAAATAAAGAAAGAATAGTCCCTAGGCAGTCCGTAATGGCCGTAATGGCAAAAGTATTGCTGCCGGTCTAGCAGGATAATCCAGATTTGTATTAATTATGTAGAGAAGCTGGTTTGCTAATATTAAATTCCAGGCGCGTACGCTCAAATAGTAGGTCTTCCGTTTGCCATGGTCGTCGTCAAAAGAAGCGGATTCTTATATTGGAAGGGGATTTTTGTTTTTTGGTGGCGAGTCAAAAATTATATTAAATTTGGGTTCAGTGTTGGCTGAAATCAGTTTTACTCGTAAACCAGAGTGATTCATTCATTCGAATTGCCAACAGAAAGCCTATTACGGAGCAACAGTTTTCATAGAATTTTTACTAGCTTCTGTCTGAGTAAATAAGACTGCAACTTTTGCATTTGCAGACACGAACTTAATCAAAAGATGCAATGAATTTGAATCGTGATTGAAATGAAATCGCAAAATAAATGCCAACGAGGATACAATCGATTTGACACAGACACTTTGAGTGTACGCCAAAGGAATTAATGATCGCTGCAGTGAGTGCTAGCGAGCGAGTGCGCAGCGATAGTGTGTGTGAGTGTGAGTGTGAGTGTCGGAATTGATAAAATGCTAAATGGCTACTTGGTCAGAAGGAGACATGCTTGCTGTCTTGCTGTCACTTGGTGTTCGCAGTCAATTGAATGTCACAATAGGGGAATTGCCAGTAATTTGTCGTCGACGATGCCAGTGTTGCACACTAGACAATTTGTGCAATCGATGCAATTGCCATTACGGACAAACAATCGTAAAAAAATAAATTATTCAGTAGACAGAATACATACATATGTTCATATCGTTACCAGAGACGGATCTACGGG